TATTCACCATGTGCATGTTGAGTTCATTTGGTTTGTTGTATCCTTATGTTCGTTTTTTCGTATTACCAAAGACTATTGTTGAGAACTAAGTGCCTATCGTTGTCTCATTTTTTGAATAAAAAATTAGTGTACTTGGTGTGAGTGTTGTAAACAAAAAAGAGTGTCAGAACAAATTAGTGTCTTCTTTGTGAGTGTTTTGAATAAAAAATTAGTGTACTTTTCCCATGTATGTTCCAACTTTTGAAGGTGCTACCGAGTTCAGTATATAAATCATATGTTCATTTATTTGCACTTGTGTTGTTCCTAATATCAGCATTACAATCATCTTATGTATGCCCAATTGCGAGTAGCAAAGATGAGCAAGATGAGCAAAGACTCGACGAGTCCTCCTACAAATGACACATCCGGTGATGGACCGAGCAATGTGGATCGTGGCAAAGGCAAAGCATTTGTCCCGCTGAAAGGGCTTCACATCACACAGAAAGGCCCGAGGTAAATCCTCCTTGCCCCATTCCTAAGCTAACGGGAGCCCGGTGGATGCAAACTTACACTAGCCGAAAATACCAGATGTTTAGAGAATTTGCGCATGTCGCGTGATGACTTCATGCATTTGCATGAAACCCCTTCCGTTTGGGCCGCCAACAATGAGATAAGTGCACCTCGATAGAAGCTTTAGGCATGTACATCCGGACATGTGCCCACCAATCGGCTAGTAGACAAGTGCAAGTATAGGTTCAAAAGGTCTTTAGATACGATTAATGGAAGATTACACTAGTTGCAAGAGGTAATGTACCAAAGGCAAACATGATCTTAGTCCCAAAGAGATAGGAACTACGCATGCGCGTAAGCCACAAACTTGTCGCACATTCACCATGGTTTGATGGTCGCATAGGTGCTATAGATGGCACGCACATAAAGGTTGAGGTTAACCGTCAAGCAAAGGCTGATTTCTACAATAGGAAAGGCGAAACAACAATTAATGTTTGTGCCATCGTGGATATGGATGGCCGTTTCACATATGTGGAAATTTGGGAAGGCGGGGCATGTCATGACATGGCGGTGTTGAAAGACTGTCAGACGACGCCGCTCCCACATCCCTCGAAGGTTCGTGATGCCTTGATGTTCGTGATACCCTATTTGTTTCCTTGTAGTACATGCATTGAAGCATACTTGTGTTTAATTTGCTAAGCCATCGGATTTGTCACCGCTATGATAGGTAGGTACTACACGGCGGGGACGTGGGTTACAAGGAGATGGAAGGCTACATGACCCCTACAAAAACACAAGGTATCACATCAATGACTTTAGAGGCATAGATATGCAGCAATTGCAGAGGGAGGAGAAATTCAACTACATTCATGCTAGATTGCGGAATGTAATTGAAAGGAGGTTTGGGTGTTGAAAGAACGCTGGCAGATTCTTGATGGGGTGCCCCTCTGCAGAGGGATGAAGCGTGCTATGATAATCATTTCATGCTTTGCTTTAGATAATTTTTTGTGGATGCGTAGTAATGCCAGTGCAGATCCACCCTCCTATGAGGTGCCGGATTGGGTTGAACTAAATGGGAACCCCTATCTCTGGACTTAGGGAGTTAATATCCATGGCGGTGTGGAGTGTTGTCCGATGTAGGCCAAGGATGTTGTTTCATAAACCAAGAGTCATGAGGTACAATTTCTTAGCAGTCTTGGCGTGTGCATCCGTAAGGTTGTGTGGGACCGAGTTCGTTTGAAAAAAAACGTTTATGGGACTATCATATTGTGTTTGTTGATGTATGATGTAATTGTAGTGATGTAACTACAAGTGCCAAGTTATGTACCGATTGGCTTTGTGATGTATGATTTCATAGTAGTAGCTACATTGTTTCGTGAATGACCATGCCACGCTCGCATCTTGTTTGGTGCCGTGATGTAATACTCTGCATCTTGTTTAGTTGCTACTCAAGGATTCATTCCTCGAGGTATGATTTCATTATATTGGTTTTGTATTTGTTCATATGGATGATTGAACCAGAGGTAATTTGAGTTTGCTATCGGGGTGAAGACGGAAGAAGACGTGCTTCGTGCTTGGAGCAAATGAACTCACCACGTCATGTCTTTGCTTTCTTGCTAGGTAGACTCTCAATATTAGTAGTAACTTCCATGAACATCCATTTTATTTACATGGTGACCTTGCCATCTTCTTCGTTTCAAAGACAAATTGCTTGGCACCAAAGGCAAGGTGCTTTTCTTTGCCCTTCCTAGTGTATATATAAGGAGATGAAGTGACATGTGCTACGACGCCTAAGGTGCATATGTTATGTTGAGTCTTCGATATGTTAAATGATTGTCATCATCTCTTTCAATATAGAGATTGCAGATTTTCATTACCTGGATCAATTCCAATCAAGAGTGACTGAGTCTAGCAATCATGAAACATGCATTGTATCTAGTCTGATTACTAGTGGTACAAGTGTATCAGATCCAAATGAAGGAAAGGATGGTACTGCTAATTTCTGGCGCCATATGCGGTGCCCAAGATGACCAGATAATGCTTGAGTCCAAAATTTCTCCTCCAAAACTTGCCAACCAGGTGAATATTAATTGAATATAACATGATCCAGAATTTAAGTTGATTACAACTTAGCTTTTAGGTTGTCAATGAGTAGATGGAAAGACAGGCTGATAATTTCATTAGCCTATATTACGAAGGTTTGCAGATGGTAAGTGTTTCAGTTTGAGCCTTAATATATTATACAATGCCTGTTTATGATTACCCTTGACCTTTTGGCTGTTCTTTTCTGGCAGTGTGACGATGGTTGCAAATACTCGACTCATAGTGTAAACCTTAGAGTTATGGGGGATTCCGGGAAAGGAACCACCTGGCCTAACTACCCACGCTGCAACGGTCGCCTAGGAAGACAGGTTTGTTGATACTCTTCGTGATCTTACAATGTGCCCATTTGGGGAAGTGGCAACCGGTGTCTAATACTAAACCTTTGTGTGTAACGATTTGAGGCCGAGATCTAAGCAGACAACCGTCATTTGGCCAAGAATGTACTTGATGCAACCCGGTGTCTTGAAAAGGTTCTCATCAACCTAACCATGTACTTTTCTTTTTTACTTTCTAATCCAACCTATGCACTTGGTGACTTGATCTTAATCGCTTTGGATGTAGTGGACCGAAGGCAAAGCTCCCCTTCGAGAGAGTTTGTAGCAGTGAGGGTCAACAATTAACTTGGTATTTGTATGGGTGCAGCTAAGGGACCTTGCCGTGTCAATATGATGTTTTTGGGGTGTCTTTGGGGTGTGTGGGTGTGGGTGGTGGGGGTGGAGAGAGCTCAATTAGATGAATTTGATTGTAATCGTGCAAGTAATTAATCGTCATCCCATGAGGTTGTGTTGATTACGGATCTAGCATGGATCATAAACCTCATCCCTTTTGATCTGTTTAAACATTGGACAAGCTGTTCTCTGCGCTTGAGTCGCAAACTGTAAATTATGGGTTCAAATTGTTGGTTGAAAGCTCAAAAACAAAGATGATCTAGAAATGCATGGTAGTTTGAATTTGAAAGTTTGAAATCACCATGAGTTACAATTGAGTTGGCGCCAATTTTTAACGCTCGCACAAGATCGATCGGGTGGAGCATGTCTATGACAGATGTTGGATACTACCGGGGCTAAAATTGGTCGGTCAATTTGTTGGTCCAAATTTCAAAGACACCAGCCAATTCAGCCCTGCCGAACGGGCTGTATGTTAACTTTGTGCACGTGAACAACGAATTCAAGTAACACAAGCAAGCGTTTGGATGAAATACTTGCCGCAAAAGAGAAAGGGGGGTTGGTTAGCTTCCAACTCAAAGGCCATGTGCTGAACCTGAGCTAACGTCGCAGTCATTGTTACAAGTTGTCTCCCAACTTTTCTTACTGAAAAATCTTTCATCGAGACAGTGATAGATGCATGCGTACAAGTACTTAAATATTCATGACCCAGGTTTTAACCCAGACACCTCAAGGGTTAGGGTAAGAGTGCGTGCTACTTGCTATGTTACCTATTTGTCTGATTCCATAAAGATAATTAATGATTTGTTGCCTTATTGCCTCTCATCAAATATGTTTTGATGCTCCCCTACTTGTGACATGTGAGCCACCTCCTCATGGTAAATGAGCATCTATCACCAATTTGTTGACCAGGCCGTTATGGCTAGATTGCTACTTTGCTAGCTAGGCAGGAGAGTGTCACCTAGAGCAGCATAAGCAAACTAGGTGGCCGTCAATATCGTCAGAGTCAACTTTATTATATAACATAGATTTTTTTTATTTCAACAGTGTTTTATTAGAGAATATATAATTTTTATCAGGTTCGATGGACCCAGATAAACAGCCCTAAATTCATCCCTAAGCCACCTTAGATAATACAATATTTTCTATTTCTTGTAATACCATTTTTTTAATCTATCGCGAAGGATATATGTGAACACAGTGGGACATACTCCCTCCGTCCCTACAAAAAGAGTCGCTATGGGATAGAACTTGCATTTAGAGATTGAACTTGTAAGGGTTTAGCTTTATAATAGAGAGAGATTATTACTTCCTCGGCTTCGAATTATAAGTTATCTTAATTTTTCTAAATAAATAGTTTTTACCATATTATATATAGATATATATATTATATCTTGATATCATAGTAATAAAACAATGAATATAAAAAAGTTAAAACAACCTACAATTCATAACAAAGTGAGTATATAATTATATGCGTGTTATAAAAAAATATTAGGATCATAATCAGAAAATACCAGGTACTACGACGACACATGCTCCTCATAAATGCCAACATCCTTACAGGCCCCCCAAAAATGGACCTCTTTCCTTCGGCCCCCCCTTAATTCTCTGCCGTTGTCGCTTCGATCCCCCTCTTGTTCTCTCGCCTCCAACGTCTCTCACTCTCTGCCTCTCCTCCGGCCTCAGTCTGCAGCCCCGCCCCTTCACACCGCCGCAACCCTGCCCCAGGTCCCACAGCCAATGCCGCCCGCTTCCCGCCCCGCCGCCGCCTCCTCCGCTCCACCCGCGCCGCCCCGCCACCTCCGACGCCGCCTCCCGCTCAAAGCCACACTACCCACCGCCCCCGCTGCCGCCTCAGGCGCCGGCGCTGGCGCTGCCCGCCGCGGCGGTCCCGAGACCCCGCATCTCCGTTGGGCCGCGCCTAGCGGCCAGGGCAATGTCGGCGCGGAGAGGCCGCGCGGAGACCCGCTCTCCTCCTCCGTCAGGCGCCTGGCCGCGGCGGTGTGGCGGCTGCGGCCACCCGAGGAGGCACCCGCCGCTGGCCAGCATGACGCCGCCTCCCGTGTCGGCCTCGAGGTACGCGCATCTCCCACTCCGTGCTCGCCCGTTAGAAGAAAAAAAATGGAAGTTCGAATTTTTAGGTCGAATTAAGCTGCTCCCGCTCGAATGTTGCTGGATCCTCGCTCGGATTCGGCGTACGGGGAGGCGAATCCAGGACGGCGGGCGGCGACGCCCTCCCTCATCAAGCCGCCGTACTCGCCTGCCCACCGTACCACTCCGCTCTCTAGCCTCCCTCCGTTCTAGCTCGTGGCGGCAAGCAGTTACTAGCCGTTGCCGACGGCGTCGCACGGCGGCGGAAACGAAGTCCAGATCCCCATTTATGGCGGCGTTCCTTCTCATTGCTCTCTTTCATCTTTTTATATAATATAATCGCTCCCGTCTCAGTGTCGGCGGGTGACATTTATTGCTCAGGCCATGGGCGCGTTCCTTGTGATACACACAGCCTGTGATCTGCTCCTGGCTCATTGAATCATCGGTGTGCCGTGCAATTAAGCACGCACGGATGTACCTCTCTAGGGTTCTTGATGCGAGAGTAACCAGCCTGTCTCCTCCAGCTACCCGTGCTTGTGGTGCGTGGGTGCCTTGCCTATTTACTGGAGTCACTACTGCTACCTTGCCAAGTGATATTCGGTGTAAACTCGGTCATGTGTTCAGTTTCCACTTGAGTGAGTTACCCTTCTTGGTTGCAATGCCAGTATGCCACTGCCATTCATGGCATGAGCAATAGATCCTGGTTTCAGAAGATGGTATGGGGGTTTCATACAACTCTTTCGTTTGTCATTCATCCTATTTGCTGATAGGATCTGAATGATCCACTCCCCAAGATTTATATGTGCAATAACGAGATCAGTTCATCTTGTTCTTATGTCTCCTTTTTCTTCAGAATTCATATCTTTGCTTTGTCATTTTAAAGAAATTACTTTAGGCTGTAACTTTGAGGATGGGTAAATCTGAGGGCGCAATCAAATCGTTATCCATGTATTGATGTCTTGTTGCTGGTTAGAGATGGAACAAGTTTTTTTTTTCTGCTTTGTGGCAGTTGATTGATCATTCATATTAACTTGTTGATTTCACTTATATGACAGCATATACCGAGACATCTACAAACTCACCTTCTGAGCAAGAATCCTCTTAGTTACCACCATAGTCTGAAAAAAGACATTTCAAGCCCCAACTCTGTCCTGGGGCCACATAGTGGAGAGCTCCACAAGGTATAACTAGAAATCACTCGCACCTGAATTGCTTCTATCTTTTTTGGTTCCATACTGCAAGCTAATTCAGTGGATTTAACCATGCAGGTACACCTTCGTCTTTCCTCTGGTGTGGAGGATGCAACAAAATGGGAGCATATAAACATAAAGAGCATAGAACCAGATGGTGCCTATGTGATTGCTAGCCGACTAAATCTTGTTGAGGAACAGAAAGGGGGCAGCTATGTTGCTAGCCTTGAGTTGGAGCTTCAGCAGGCGCAGGATAGGGTGAGCAAGCTAGAAGCTGAGCGGCTTTCGGCCAAGAAGCAACTTGATCACTTGTTCAAGAAACTCGCAGAGGAGAAAGCAGCTTGGCGGAACAGAGAGCACAAGAAAGTTCGAGCAATTCTTGAAGATATGAAGGCTGATCTGGAGCATGAGAAAAAGAACCGGAGGCAGTTGGAGACTATTAACTTCAAGCTTGTTGATGAGTTGAAAGAGGTCAAAATGGCCGTGAAGCAGCTATTGCAGGAGTATGACAGCGAGCAGAAGACACGGGAACTCACGGAGGAGGTGTGCAACAAGCTAGTGAGGGAGATAGAGGAACACAAGTCAGAGATCGAAGCCTTGAAACAGGATTCTGTCAAACTGCAGGGGTGAGCTGGATGAGGATAGGAAATTGCTACAGATGGCTGAGGTGTGGCGTGAGGAGCGAGTGCAGATGAAACTTGTGGATGCCAAACTCACTCTTGAGGCCAAATATGAACAGTTGAGCAAACTGCAGGAGGATGTGGAGGCTTTCATTTCAACTTTCAGCTCTTCCAAAGGAGACAGCACAATTGTTGAGGTGGCACACAACATTGTACAGGCCATTGGGTCAGCCAGAGACCAAGAGGTTGAATTCACATATGAGCTACCAAGAGCATCAGAAGATATACTGTCCATCTTTGAAGAGCTACGCCCAAGCAAAGAGACAGAGAAAAAGGAAACTGAACCATGCACAAAGAAAGAAATCCAAGAAGCTAGCCCAACAACTGATATATTTCTGGAAAATCGAGACAAATTGTTCCCAGATGGAATCCATTCTGATGAGAGCGACACGGAAGATGGAAGCAGCTGGGAGACCATGAGCCATGAAGAGATGCAAGGTTCAAGCCACTCACCATATGGAAGCGAACCTTCAGTCAACAAGATCTTTGACAGAATTTCATGGACCAGTGGAAACGATTCTGAGGGTGAGCAGATCAACAAACTGTGTGATGACTTGAGCAATGTGTACCTGACAGACATGAAACAGTCCAAGAAGAAAGAGTACGCCATATCAAAGCTGTGGAAGTCATCTCCACTGAAAAACTGTGAACTCCGTACAAAAGATGTTCCAGAGATGATAAATGGGAGATTATCAAGTGCAAGTCTTCCAAATGGTGTGTACTCTACTGCCAAAGGCTCAAATCTAGATATGGGAGACAGCACCCCTAGCACAGCGCAATGGAGCTCACCAGACTCGATGAACAGCCAGCTCAACCGGGGTTTCAGAGGCTGCATGGAGATGGTTCAGAGGCAGAGCCTGAAGGCAAAGCTCCTAGAAGCTCGGATGGAGAGCCAGAAGATTCAGCTCCGTCATGTGCTCAACCAGAAAACCTAAGTTAGAACCTCACTCTGCGTCAAGAAATAAAATTCCAAGCATTGGATCTATTTCATTTCCCTTGTCCATTGTAGTATGTAGCTTAGTCTCATGTGCTTCTGCTTCATATCATAGAACTATATAGCTAGCTGTAGCCTTGTAGGCTGACCCGGCCATGGTTGATGCATCTGTCTAATAGTGGCAGTACATTTGACAGGTTATAGTGTCCGTCTTTATGTGTAATGTAGCAGTAAACAAGAAGCATCGTTCAGACTAACTGTACCAGTAATGTAGCAGCAAACAAGAAGCATTGTTCAGACAAAATGAACCATTGGCAGTGAAGAATTGTAAAACCTCCCTCTGAGAATGTGTTTTCATTTGAAGCGAACAGAATACTCAGAAATGGAAACCTCTTCAGAAACTGCTGTCATGGAGGCCATAGGAATTCTGATTCTAAAATGAAATTTATGCTAGATACAGTTGCGATGTCAAAACACAAAATGTGTCACTTTTAGTTGCAATAGCCACAACAGATTCTTTGTGATGCAACACACAAACTCGCTCGCATAAAGTCACTGGAGCTTTGATTTTGGAGACATTTAATGTTCCAGAATTGTTAGTCAAGTACATACTTTGTTAACACAACTATTGTTGACAGCTCGATTGTATTGAGCGTACAAGTTTTCATACAAGTTGTTAGCAATATAGTACAGCTATATGATCACACGTTACTTTGCTTGTAGAGCTTCGTGTCCAACACTTGCTTCCCACACATTGCGCACACTCCTGGAAAAAATCAATATTATGTTCAGAATAAGGAATTAACTAATTTCAGAAGCATTTTGTTAAGTCATGAACTATATGATAGTGATACTTCGAATGTGTCAATGCACTTAAAATTCATTTACCATGTTCCCTTTCTAGTGTGTTTCTTACCTTTCGAGTAAGCACACGTGTGGCAATATTTTGCGTCCTGGTGCACCTGTTGCTTGCAGATTATACATTTGGTGTTTCCATATGGAGTCCACCTGTGATTAAGCAGAAGTGTGTAGAATTAGACCACAATCACAATATTACCTTCAATGGACAACATATGTGATTTGAATATTAAGTTACAAAAAAGAACATACTGTGATTTCAATAGAGACAACAAAAACATATAGCTTGTTCTGGAAAATATCCAATGAGGCTAAAGAATCCGTAGATACAGAAAACTCAGTTAAAATTTTAAGCAACATATTTAGAAGGAACAGATCTTGACTCCTGACCAAACAAACAGGATATCAGCCACACACTGGTGACACATGATATCTCCATGGAAATTCAAGAGCACCTTGCTTGAATATAAGGATCAAATAAATATGAATTTTGATTAAAGATTCCTAAATAAAAACTGGAAATCCTTATCCCCTACCACCCCATATCCATATGAAACCCTAGCTAGCACCTGTTTCCGTACCTTACAACATCAGAACTCACATTCCTTCTCACCTTTTCTATCTCCCCTGTGTATTCCCACAACTAGTAATGAAACATTCATTAATTTGGAAGGTGGTTTCTTCATATTCCTATGTTAACCGAGACAACAGTTAGCATGACAGTTTCTCCGATAAGACCAAAGTTTATCATTTATAGAAAGAAATCCTTGTGGAACATGTGCCTTGTTGTCTTCCAGATCTGTGACACTTGCAACAAATAATTCACTATCTATTCAGTTAAGAACTAAGGAGGCCATCCTTACTACGGCCCTGCATTGAAGAGAGATAAACTTTGAGGGGGCTTTTTTTGGAACTTTTTTTTGGGGGGAACTTTGAGGGGGCATTAGGCTACCATGCTACCACCATCGTGGTACCAAACTGTCAAGAACAAGAGCTTGTACTCTTGTACAACCGACATACTATCAGTCTGATTCAGTTGAAGGCTTTAAGGGGAAAAAATGAGGGCTAACACAATATTCTAAAATTAAATGATTTAGGTGGCTCAAAATTCAAGAAATCAAGTCTACCAGCCTGTCCATTGAGTTGGACCAGCAAACAATTTGTTTGATTGATTGGTTACTGACTTACTGTATACTATCTTCATGACTAGTAGAGCCATTAACTCTGGTGATTTGCCTCTTTATTAAAGAAAACCAAAGCTCCTACCCTGATCTGTTGAAGGTATCCCCGAAAACGAAATTGGGAGCCCAAGCAACAGGCATCAGCTATTCGCGCGTGATGTCAGCCCAACCCTGACCGCAAAGAACTACTAGTAGTAGGGGAGAAGGCTCGACAGGGGCAGGGGAAGGGAGGGTGAGGGGAGAGCTGACCTGTTCTTCTTGGAGAGGAGCTTGTTTTCGTTGATCTTGCGGCCGCCGCTCTCGTTGGTGTTGCTGGCGCCCTCCTTCCACTTGTCAGGCACGATCACCTTCCCGAGCTTCTTCTCGCCTGCATCCCAAATTCCACCAGCACTTTCTTATATAAGGAAAAACAGGAAGAAGAAAAAAAAAAGGGTACAGATCCCAGCACGAGTCCTCTAGGGCAAAAAGGAATCGGGGATGCACACCATCAACTACCGGGAGGAAGGGAGGGATAATCTTACACTTAGCGCACACCATCGCCGCCGCCGCCGCCGACGATTCTTGCTGTTCTTGCGGTTGGGGATCCGAGGCTGGATGGAGACGAGAGGAAGGGGAAACAGAGAAGGAAGCGGTGGCTGGCTGAGGAGAAAATGGGAATTCTCCCATGACGGGAGGTGGGCTTAGCTGTTTTACCGTCCGTAACGGGTCTTCTTTTTGTTTGCCACGGATATCCAATGAATATCCGAAAAACATGAATTAAATACTTATGTTTTATGATGCCATTTCGTATGATTATTTAGAGCTGACTTAAAAAATCATTTCTAGATCTGCCCCTATATATATCCATGGTTTTCGGTATCCATTCGGGTTTTGGTATCCGTTCGGGTTTGGTATCCGGGTTGGGTTTTTTCTTCTTCTTTTTACCATGAGGATTTTGGGTGCACGGAGAACAGAAAACCCGTTCGCCATCCTTACCATTACCAAACATGAAACCCTTAGGAGAAGTGCTAAAAAAATCATTTCTAGGTGCTCCTCCGATTCTTTCTTCTTCTTTTCCCATGAGCACGCGGGACGTCGGACTGGCGGATTCATCTTCTCCCACGCTGGGGACGTCGGATTGGGAGACGAGGAGACCTTGCACCACAAGTAGAAGGTCTCGAGATCCTCCATCTGCTTGGCGAGATCGCAGAAGAGGGCGTGCATGCGCTCACAGTCCGCGGTCTCCATCTCCGCAAACTGCTTGAGCATGGCCATCGCCTACGTGAGCTCGCAATAGAGCTGCACGCTCTCCTTAACTAGCCTGTGACAAAGTCATTGGAAGATGAGCGGCATTGTCTACATACATGATCCAACTTCACAAAGACAAATTGCGCGTCGTCTCTCTCCTGGGCGGCTCCTTGGTCATGAGCGCCACCGCCTTGTGTGCCTCGGCGCCCACCGCATCCTCTTGTCTCCCGTTGAAGGCAGCGATGTCGTCGCATGTGTAGCGGTTCCTGGGGTACGCGTACATCTCCTCGTGGAGCCGCCTGCCACCGCGCGTCGCGCTGCCCTGCATCCGGAGATGGCGCGCAGAGGCATTGACCTTGGGCTGTGGGGGCGGCGAACGCGAGCAGTGTTGGCGTCGTTCGGGGCAGATGCACGGTGGGCGGCGGGAGTCGCTGGCATTGTCGCCGCCGTGGCGCTCGGCTCCGAGGAGAAGGCGAAGCAGAGGAACACCCGCTCAGAGAAGAAGCACCGCTCGATCCGTTTCTTCTTTCCCTGATCCGTGCGTCCGTGTTCTCGCGAGTAGAGGAGGAAAGGGCAAGGGCAAGGGCAAATCTGGAAGAAAATTTTGTTTTTCTTTTTTCTAAGCTCCAAACTTATGGAATGGCATTCTAGCGGTTGTACATGTTTTGTAATGGCAAACGAGCGAAGCCTCGTTGCGGAATGACAAAACAGTGAAGCCCACCTTCCATAATGGTAAAATTCCCATTTTATCTTGGCTGAGAGATGCGCTGGGGTTCGGGTCGGTTAAGCGCACTAGATCTGTTTACCCGAGCCAAGCCTGTTTGATGGGCCAGGCTCAAAGCCTGGATAGCTCTAGGCCCAATTTAGACCGAATCCGGGCTCAACTTGAAAATTGGGCGAATGTGGTTTTGGGCAAAATTTGTTTAAATTGGGTTGGAGTTCTGCAGTTAGAGTGGAGAATAATTTCGTGATAGTAATAGTATAAACTTATATTAGTATATACCGTACAGCTTGTTTTACTCTCATACATCGATTTTTTTAAAAATAAACTTATAGTACATACTTTGATACTCATATACATGTATGTACATCCAACGGATGAAATCCAAACACAAATCGCAACATGTATTATAAAAGTCATTATATGACTTGCTAAAAGTTAAAACGGTTGGTACAAATGTGGTACAAGCGACCAAGTGAGTAGCATCTCTTACTGTCGATGCGAAATGTGGCCAACAAGTAAATATTTGTAGTTTTGCCATGCGTTGTGATCGGATGTGGCCTAGCACTCAATGACATAGGATTTATACTGGTTCAGACAACAGGTCCTATGTCCAGTTAAGGTCGGTTGGTGACTTTATTCCTGAGCCCATGTGCTCGAAGTTTGTTGTGGGGTTACAAACGAGTGATGAATGAAGTGAGGGATGTAAAAGGCCTGGTCGGACTCTAGTCCGAGTGGAAGAGAGTGACGGGGGTTCAAACGTATGCTAAGTGCCGGAGCGTGTGCTCTGTGTGCATCTCTATGTGCCCGAGCTTGCGAGCTGTTGAGACTATTGAGACCGTGTTCGGTAGCCTATGTAGCCATCGAGTCGTTGAGTCCTCGGGTCATTTAGGAGAGAGCGCATCTCCTTTTATAGTTGAAGGGGATGGCCTTACAAGTCAGAGAGAAAGAGAGATAGAGTGTATACGGGCGCTGCCTAGTCTTGTTCCCACGCCATCGGGTACGGGATGGCCACCGTCGCCCGCCATACTGTTTACGCCGCTATCGCCCACCTTACTGTTCATGCTCTGTTGTATCTGGCAGGCTGCACAGTGTTCGCCTGGTACGACAAATGACGGCGGCCACAATACTGTTTATGCTCTGACGCGTCTGGCATGCTGTATAGTGTTCGCCTGGTACGACAAACAATGACGCCCATAATATTGTTTATGCTCTGACGCGTCAGGTAGCTATACAGTGTCCGTCTGATATGGCCCGACGACACCGTCCTAGAGGTGCGCAGTGCATGGTAGGGTATGGTCCTCAGTATTACGGTTGACTTGAGCGCCTTACCTTATCAACTCCGCCTGCTCCTCGGGCCCACACCGAGCGGGCGTCCCCGGTCGGTCGTTCTCAGTCGGCCCCGACCGTGTCGGTCGAGAAAGAGCAGCGAGCAGAGGTTCGAAGTATCCTTGGTCGAAGAAATGGGGTCGGAGTCGGACTGCGGTCCCACCACAACCAGGCCTTCTAGTCGGGGCTCTGACCAGATCTCCTATGCGGAGGTGCCGGTCGGGGACCGGATCATGGTCTTGGCCTGTCATTGTGTATCTGGGTCGGTCCAGGCGCGTGCTATCGCTGCGCTGCCTGCTGGGCTGAGTTTTGTAGGGAAGCGGGTCCATTGGGGATCGCGGGTTTATGAACCCGACAGGAGCCCTCGAGCCCCTTTGGGACTTCTGTGAAACCGTGAAGGGGTTGTTCGCACACGCTTTGCGTGATATTGTAAAAGCCAGGGGCTTGTATTTTTAGCTTAATGAAAGCTTGTATTTGCTTTGTAATTCCTATGCCTATTGTGCCGTGGAGGCGGGCTGTTATTGGAACTTCGATGTTTTTCTCCTTTGGTTTGTTGTACTACGTAGGGTAACCGAATAGGATTTAGGCGCCCAGCCTCCATGTGGAGGACTGGCAAAGGCCGCGGAGGCACGCAGAGTGGATACGGGCGCCTAGCCTCCGTGGGGAGGATTGGTGAAGGCCGTGGAGGCACGCTGGAGGGATATTGGCACCCAGACCCTAAGAAGGGGACTGACGAAGGCCACGGAGGCGCGCCATGCAGACATAGGTGCCTAGCCCCTGAAGAGGAGACTCGCTGGTAATCCGTTTTCCGCCGGGTGCCGGTGGGTGTAGCCCCCGAGCCTACAATCGACTGGGGAGTCGGTCGAAGGCTGAGCACCTTGGTACTCTTTTTTGGGGCTGCGGACTCTTGTGTCTCTTCCGGTCGAGGTGTTCACCCGTGTCCGTTCCGACCACAACCTGTGCGGTCGGTCGGGTTCCTGAGTCAAGATCTAGCGGCTCGAGCCCCCGAGCCACTAGGGCCGGTCGGGGTCAGACGCATGATTTCCTATGTCACCCCGTTCACGATTTCCACAACCGGAGGGGTTGAGCTGACGCCACTTGCCTCGATGGCTTGAGTGGTGGGCTTTGGTGAGCTCGCTAACGGGCATGTCCGAGTGGAATTTGGGTTCGTCATTCGTGACGGGTTGGCATAGCCCTCATGTGGCACTCCACTTCTCCTAAACCCGCCTCCCGATAGATGCCCGAGTCATTCCGAAGAGCGACTCAGGTGGCCCGATGGCCTTCCCTCGATGGAGATTCTGTGGGAACGACTCGAGGTCAGGATCGAACGAGAAGGTTGAGATGACCATGTCCGCTCTTGAGCGGGTCGGGCGAGGGCCGCAAAGGCTCATCTGCGTTTTCTCCCCTGGCTCTGTTTGATGCGAGGCGGCCTCGAGCCCTTTGTGGGCTAGCCTTTGAACCCCGGTCGGTTGCCGCTCATATCGAATGAGACGACTACCGCTTCATGATGCGACGCGAAGCATTTCCATGCAATGATTGCATATGCAATGATTTGGATTTATGAATGCATGCATGAGAATGAATGCTTATGTACTAGAAAAGTAAAATGGGGGTTGGTAAAGTTACCTCGATGGCTTGAGTGACGAGTTTGGGGAGCTCCTATCGGATATGTTCAAGTGGAATCGGGTCCGTCGTTTGTGATGGAGTCGGCATAACCCGCTTGGGGCATCCCACTGCTCCTTACCTGTCTCTCGGTAGGCGCCCAAACCCTGCCTGGAAAGGCAGAGGGTCATTTGTGTGTGGTTGCGCCTTGTTTCCGTGTCATGTTGTGGTAGTGATGGGCCCCACCCAGGCCACGTCCCGTTAGCCAGGCCACGTCCCGTCGGGCAAGCCGTGTCCCATCAGCCAGGGCCACATCCCGCTGCACGCCTTTCTGCATTAAATAGGGGGAAGGGAGAGGGTTTTCCTCCTGCTCTTTCACCTTTCTTCAACCGCTGCCGTTTCTCCTTCCTTCTTTTTTGCCATGCCAGTTCGTGTGCCATGGCGGTTTCTAGGACAGAGGAGGGCAGAGCGAGGGAGAGAGAAAACTCACAGATTCGTTCGTAAATCTGAGGTGCGATGTCGAACTGGAGGCCTTCCAACATGGATGAGGCCATGCTGGCCAACTTCGCCGTGAAGGGGCTGCTTCCATCGAAGGTGGTGGCGCATTGGAGGGCTCCCATGCTAGGGGAGGTTGTTCCGTAAACCCAGGCCGATGAGGTCATCTCTTTCTCGCCTTCCATGAGCGTGGGCTCGGGTACCCCATGCATTGGTTCCTACGCGGTCTCCTCAACGAGTGGGGCCTGGAGTTGCAGCACCTCAACCCAACTGGGGTACTGCACATCACCGGCTTCGTCACCGTCTATGAGGCCTTCCTCGGGATGGAGCCGCATGTGGAACTATTCTGGTGAGTCTTCATCGGGCGAGCCCTGTCCGAGGGGAAACCGCCCAGAACCGCACCGGTTGGGGGTTTGCCCTGCAGAAGAGGCCGAAGCCGCTGGTCCCCTACCCCGCGTACTCCCCCAGTGACTCCAACTAGGGGTGGCATGGTGAGTGGTTCTATATAGGAACCCGATGGAGGCGCCATTCCTAACGTTTACCTGGGGGGAGGCCGGAGAAGAGGGAAAGTTGGACGTGGGGTCCTTCCCGTCAACAGAAAAAGCTAGCGATCATTGAGTCGGAGCTTCGGAAGCTCGTGCGGAATGGCCTTGAGGGGTTGTGGGTCTTCCACACCTTCTTCTGCCATCGGGTTGCCCCACTGGGGGAAAGGACACGGGCGATGTGGGAATACTCCGGCCCGACGGAACCCGACCACGCATCGCTAGAGGAGTTGTTGAAAGATGAAGTCTAGAGTTATCTTGGTCGGGCACTGCAGTTGAGGGATGAAGACTCCCTCGAAGGGACACCCGGACCCATTCATGCAGCAAAGCTGTCCGAT